CATAGCACTTCCCAGGCACAGCCTTCTGCCTCCGCTGATCCTTCCTGACAGCAGGACATCCACAGGCCCGCACAGGGGGCTGTGCAGAGCATGGGGAGAGGGAACTTATATAAAGGACAGAGCTTGCTCTTTGCAGTGCCTCTCAGGGCTCTCCGGCAGTCCTGCCAGAGGAGGGGGAGATCCACACTTAAAACCTGCCCTGCTGTAAGCTCCATGAAATTCAATTTGTCTCCTGCAGAGAGGGAAGAGCTGTCAGCCTTGGCTAGGGTTTTTTTTAGTGGGTAGAATTGCTGTGATGTATTTCAGGTCCTGTGCCTAGGATTTGTAAACCACTCCCCATGGATTTCCTTTAGCGTTTGCTTGAAATTAAAAGTGGTTGGACCAGACATCACTAGAGCAGGAATTATGCATGAGTTGGCTAAAGGTGAATCTGGAATCTAGCATTCATTATTCACACTTCTTCTCCAGTTTAAAAACTGCAAGTGAAGTTTTGCAGAGGCAGAAAGGGGCCAGAAACAGCCAAACACGTATATGCATCCTTACTGCTCGTGTCCCCTGAGAGCACAAGGAGATGAGAGGATGGGCAGAATAAAAGCTCTGTTCCCTGCTCCTGTCTGACTGCCATGAGGGTGCGAGTCCCACCATCCCCTACTCAGCTGGTGGTGCTGATCTGACCTCTCTGGTGGACAACTGGGTACTTTGTGGGCTGGGAATGAAGAGCAGCAGGAGCTGGGGACTGGAGGTCCTGGCACCCTGCTGTCACTGTCCCCAGCACCATGCTTGCAGCCAGGAGCCGTTGCCATGCTCCCAGGCTTCATTACTGAAATGGGAATGGCTGTCATTTTCCCTGGCACAGCATCGTATGGGAAAAACTAATTTGGGGGAAAGAAAAACTCTGCTGGTCACCAGGGCTGGGATAGCACTGGGCAAAGATGCATGGATGGGGCAGGGCTAACAGGCACCGTCCTGTTGGCTGGGTTTTGGTGGTGGGGAGAGCCCAGGAGCAGGGGATGCTCTGGGGCCAGGGGAGAGAGTGGCTTCCCCACAGCCCGAGCAGATGGAAGCTGCCAGTCTGCCCTGAATCAGCTACTGGTGGGAAAAATGTTTGTTCCCATCCTACTCTTTGCTATGGCAACTCCAAGAGGCCATGCTCCCTCCTCCCCACTTTGGGCATGGTAAGGGCAAATTGTGCAGGTGATGCCGGGAGCAGCTCTTCCTCTTGTGATGCATTTCTAGGGTAATGCCAAGCAGCGCAGGAGCTGAAGGAGAAATGCAGCCTTTCTGAGGGAAAAACCCTTTAAACCCAAATTGCTTAAACCAAAACTTGCTTCTCTCTTTTTATTCACCATCTCTTCTCTACCAGTGCATCAACCACGGTGTTTCTACAGTCAGGACAGCCTATCCCTGGCATGGGAGGATGTGTCATGCTGGTGGTGTGTGCCTGGTGCCTACTTCCCCAGGGTGCTGGCTCTCACCCCCCCTGCACCATGCCCTAATGCCGACGTCCTTTCTGCCTTGCAGCCTCCCCCTTCATCATCGCCATGCTCCTGGCCAGCCTCAACAGCTGCTGCAACCCCTGGATCTACATGCTGTACACGGGGCACCTCTTCCACGACCTGATGCGGCGCTTCCTCTGCTGCTCCACACACTACCTGAAGTCGCAGCCGGCGTGCGACCTGAGCGTCAGCAAGAAGAGCAACTCCTCCTCCTTCGTCCTCAGCTGCAAGAGCACGAGCCAGAGGAGCTTCATGCAGCCATCCATGATGTGAGGGCATCGCCTTGTGCTGCCACCGTGCTGCCTTCCCTGTGGAAAGCTCGGATTCGGACAAGCAAGGGGGGGTCTATATAAATAGGTGTATATATGTCTGTGTAAGCATGTACAGGTAATATACAGATATATCTTATTTAACTGAGGCAGGAGTGAGGGGAGGACTGCTGTTGTCGAGGCTTCAGTACTGCCTGGGACTGGACACCAGAAACCCACTTCCAAGCCCCCAAATCACTGACATAGGTGGTTTTTAGATAGCACTGGGAAGAACAGGTTCTGCCCCAAGCTATCCCACACTGCTGGGGCAGGTGTGCCCTATTCCCATTGGATGCAAGGGGCAGGGTGATAGATGCCGCCCTGGCACACAGCGTTGGGCACTGCCCCACCTCCTCCTGCAGCAGGAACCCCACAGGCTGCCAGCATCTGGCTGGGGCAGAGCATCAGGCACCACGCTCTCAACACGGGTATATTTGCTTTGCTTGAAGTATTGTGCGGCAGAGGCAGCCCTCTCCCTGCATCCCCGCATCCTTGTATTCCTGCATCCCTGTGCAGTGCTGCCCGGGCTTGCCAGTGGCACTGCCAACACAGAGCAGGGCAGTCCTGCCATCATGCGTTAGGGCAGCAGTGGAGACAGGGCTGGGGACAAGCCTGCCACGGGGCAACATTAACACCTGGGTGCCCCTACCCTTGCCCAGCTCTGCTCCATGTGCCCTGCTCCTGCAAGGCTGCGCACACAGGTCAGCAGGAGCCAGGGGAGCAGACACGACTGCAGGGCCAGGGGATCTGTGCAATAACTTGTTTGCTGAGTGTGCTCTAAAGCTTCTCCGAAGGGAGGCCTGTGGAATTACAGCTGGACTCCATGGGGTTTAACAGAGGAACTCCTGCAGAGTCCCCTGAGGCTAAGCTTTTGCTTTGGATTTACCGCAGATTGCATTTAGTCTTTTACACCAATGCAATTTTCTTGCTCTGTAACGCACAAGGTCATGCTTATGGCATGGATTTTTTATTGTTAAGAAATACCTGTAAATAAAGTTTTCTGACTGCGTCTTAATGGAAAGCGGGAGAGGAAGTGCAGATGGAGCAATAGACGAAGAAAATGAAGGAAATCGATGGGAAGCAACGCTTTAAACAGAAGACCCAAGTAAGTAAGGATGCTTTTAGAAAGGAATGCACCAAGCACTGAAGACCTACACTCCCCTTTATTCCATAACATGGATCTCGCCATGCCACAGCCTTTGCTGGGTGGGATGGATGCAGTGAAGGGCAGCTCTTGCTGAAGGCAGTGGGAGCTTTCCCATGAATTTGGTGGCAGTGGGATCCAGTGGCTGCAGACGGATGAGCCTACCTTTGCTCACGCCGTCTCCTGGATCTGCAGCCAGGGAATGTGCAGGAGCGAGGCCTGCATGCAAAGGGTAATATGATTTGGCCTTATGTGTTGGGAATGAATACAAAAAATTCATTTAAATGTGAACTTGATCTTTTCCCTGTCATCAACAAGTACATTTCACCTTTCATATCATGGCATTCCTTCTATTTTTCTGTAGTGGCTTCAAGTGAGCTCTCAGTGCATTTGCTGAACACAACCCAGTACGTGCACTCTCAGTATGTTTTACCAGGTGGGTTTAAATCCTTATGAAAGCATATAGCATCTTCCTCCCTCTCTCTGGCTGAGTGATGCTGCAGCCCACAGCCAGGCTCCTGCAGCATCCCCAGGCTGCAGTGGGAAGGGGATGGGGAGCAGAGCTCCAGGTTTGTCACAGTGGAAGGATATCAGATGTTCTGCAAAAAGACATTTATAGGGGTCAGAAGCAAAATAGAGGTGCTGACACGTGAACCCATGCATCACTGCAGTGGGGAGACCAGGATTTCAGAGGTTTGTTCATTTCTGGCTGTGAACTACTAGAAAAAACCCTAAAAAATTAAAAAGAATATAATCCCAGTATTGTTTTTAATTCTTTTATTCCCACAAAAAAAAGCTTTAAAAAACGCTCATGATAAAAGTGGTTTTGGAAACTTTTTTCTCCATACAAATATCTTAAATCACTCCATCCCTCTTGAGGCCCGGTGTTGCTAGACCATGGGTGCTATATTGCTATGGAATAATGCAGTCCACAATCCCAAGCCATTGGACGAGCACCAGAAGAAAATCTGGCTCTTTCTTGTCCTTGGCATGGCCCTAGAAGGGACTTTGGCTCCAAGTCTTTGTTGGAAGCCAAGGGAAAAAAGCACATGGATACAATTGAGAATAACCTCTGAAGAACGGGACCTCCTGGGCCCTGATTCAGCAAAGCACTTAAGGCCAGAGCCAAAGAAGGATTTGAGTGCCTCAGAGTTAAAGTACCGTTCATGGACAATGGACTAAACAGATTAATTGACAGGGGAGGACATAGCTCCAAATTGGACTTTTTCCCCCTCATCCCTGTGTTTTCACTGAGCCAGAGCAGCTGGGTGCAGGCAATGTCCTGGAGGAGGCTCCTTCCTCTGCTGCCTTTGCTGTGTCAGATATACACACACTGCTGCAGGCTAGAGCTTACCCAGCATCAAAGTAAGCACGTCTGCTTTAGCTGAGAACCAAGCTAAAGCTTGAAGCCAAGCTTGTCGTGTCCCAAGCTAAGTTACCAAGGGCCACTTGTTCTCGTTGCTCCCCACAGTGCTGCCTGGCTGCCCCCTCTGCAGCCCCAGCGCTGCCCACATAGTTCAACATCCTACTGCAGAGCATAGCGATTCCCTCAGATTAAGTTGTGAGCATCAAACTGCCGCAAATGGTTTTGCCATTGCCGGTGGCCCAGGCATATGCTCCCAGAAGGGAGACACAACATTTCATGCACTAATCGATCTGATTTCAAAGCTTTGCTGAAATGCGAGCACACATGAAAAAAGAAGGTTTGTTTTCACTATTCTATCCATAAAACTTTTGTGCACCATGACTTAATACAGAAGCTTCCACACCAGCAATTATTTGCAGCAAATAATAATCCATATGCAAGTATTTCTCTCAGTGTCGTGCTAGACCAAAGGGATGGAGAAGCAGGCAGGGTTTGGTCTGTTGTCCATCAGCATCTCTGCACCATGGCTTCTTGTTGCAGCCCGGGGCTGTGGTCCAGGAGATGCTGCTGTCCTTCCCATGGGGGCAGGGTGCAATGCAGGGGGTCTGGAGGGCCAAGGGCTCTCACTGAGCCTTATTGGGCTTCTCTTCTCCTAAAACTGCTGGCTCTAGGATAGAGCAATGGGCAGCCCAGCATGCTTCTGAATGCAGAGAGCATCCCTCACTTCCAGTTCTGCTGCAGGGCCTGGCAGCACTGTGCAGGTCCCTGTGCATGGATGTCCATGTGCCTGAGGGCAGGGCACACTGCAGGAGCCAGGGAATTCTGTGTAGAAGGGTGGATGTGCAAGGGGCTGGGTACTGCAGCTGTAGCGACCTAGATCTCCTTCCGGAGAGCAACTCTGATGTTGCTGCAGATCTTGGAGAGTGCCTCAAAGAATGGGTCGCAGAAAGTGTGGATGCACAGGGAGTAGATTCGGCTGACGCACTGGATCTCTATCAGGTAGCTCTTGATGCAGGGCACCACTGCCCAGATGTGGCAGAATGAGATGAGGGCAAAAAGGAAGCCCCAGATGACAGCCAGGGGGATGCCCAGGATGGCAGAGAGCAGCCGGTAGCACCAGTACTTGCTGACGGTGAAGGTGGTGTAGCTGGCTTTCCAGACGCCGTCAAAGCTGTATGTTCCCACAGGCTCAGCTATCACATCCTCAAAATCCACCTGGGAGGAGAGAATACAGAGGTAAAGGAGGTTTGGGGAATGAAACCTCAAGGCTCCAGTGCAAGGATGGGGATCCATTGCAACATCAGAGCACAACCTGAATGGAGGGAGGCTATGGAGAGCAAGGGCTGTGCTGGGGAGATGGATGCTCTAAACCAGGCATGACCACTCAGGACACATTCCCTGGTCCCAAACCCTGAGCTGTGGATGATGCTTCCAGGCCCAAGCCTGCCAAACGGGAGCTGTGCATGGGAGTGTTTACTCCAGAGGAAGCCAGAGCCCATTCCTACCCTTTTTTAGCATTCAGGCGCATGGGCTGCCTGCTCAGCCAGAAGGTGGCTTGTGATGATAAAAATCCAACTGCCCTCTTCATTTGTGATATATTAGTTTATATATGCAAGGGCAAAGTGCTCTGTTCTGTCTGTCTGGGTTCCTTCTGCAGAGGGAGAGAGATCAGCTGGGCCATGCCCTTACAGGGATAGTGCTGTTGTGCGCAGGTACTGGGAGTGTCTCTGTGATAAATGCTTTCAGAAGCCTCTGACCTACGTGTAAAGATCTCATTTCATGTGGTGTAACTGATTTCCAGGGAATACGTGAACCATGCTATTTGTTGTGAAAAATAGCAGGGCATTTCCTTGGGATGTTAACGTGTCTGTTTGTACATTTATGTTAAACTGCAACCTCCATTCGGGTTTTGGAAGCACTTGGATCATGAAATCATTCTGCATCATCTTTAATTTCCTAGAGTGGGCAGGAGGGAGAAAACATTGCTACGGATAAAGAATCAGCAGCCAAGTTACCTGGTGCTGGGGAAAGCCCTGCTGCCCAGGGGCTGGGCCTGAGCTGCAGGTCACTGCACAGCTGCCTGGGGAGCTAATCAGGGGTCAGTTAACGAAGAGAGCACCAGGCTATAAGAGAAGAGTCTCAGGAGTGCTGTTCCCTTTGCTCACAGTGCACCAGGAGGGTCTGGAGGACTGGTGGAGGCAGAGTGCTGGATCCCAAGCTGAACCTAGGCACTGCCCTAACGTGCTTACATGCAGGTACTGCTCTGTTGTTTTATACTTTGCCTGGGAGGAGGCTTTCAAAGCTCCGCAAAGCCTTTGTGGCTGGTGCCACCACTGTAGCTGTAATGTGGTCTCAGATTCTGGCTGTCGCACTGTAATGCTCAGGATGGGTTTATCTATGGCCACCTGAACCCTCCAGCCTTAACCTTCAGCTTTAGCACTCTGTTTCTCCCCTTACCTCCACTAGATGCCTTTCTACTTGCTGTGCTTTAGGAGCATCATATGGTTTCATGCACTGGGTGTTTCTGAGTGTGTTGCTGCCCACAAGAGAACAGGGAGGCTTTGGCTTTCCCTGCAGCAGCCATGGGGTGAGCTGTGCTTCCTATCCTGGGGCTGGCTCTGCCCCCCAACCCCAGCCTTATCGTCTGTGCTATTTTTAAGGTGGGAGGAATGCTATGGAAGCTGATGGAGCAGCAGCGTGGCCATGTGAGTGTGTGAGCTTGGAAATCCTTTACAGGCTTTTGGGAATCCCTGAGTGGGAACAGGCAGAGGTGGGGAAATGGGGTTGGTGTGAAGGGTTAGCGATGGTCTGGAAGGTGCTCCTGTTACCCCCAGTAGTAGCTGGGGAGCAGGTAGGTGTGCTCCTGAGTGCTGGGCATGGAGTGCCACTGGGCTGAAGGCTGTCCCAGTCCTCACCAGCAAGGGCAGTGGCAGGGTGGTGCTGCTGCAGCCCCGCACCTCTCTAAACATGGGCTAAGGCTGATGAGGCACTGGCATGGTGTGACACAGATGTGGGACACGCTGCTGGGAACATGCTTGAGATAGCGAGGTGCCTGGCAGCTGTCACAGCCACGTCTCACTGTGCCGGAAGGGTGCCCATCTATGGCTGTCACTGTCAGCTCATCCCAGAGGCTTTGAATTTGACCTGGGGTTTAGCTGTAATAGTGTTTTAATGCATAAATGCAGGCTTACATTTCAACTGTGTAATTAGGTTCATGGCATGTTACAAAGCCTTTGTGAACAGGCTCAGTGCATGCTGTCCCTTCTAGCACGTCATCCACTCTGGTCTCTCAAATACAGTTTTAACAAAACCTTTCCATCTCCTCCTGTTCTCCTTTGGTCCAAACTTATCTTTGGCATAACACTAACAAAGCTCAGAGCAATTGTGTTTCAGTGGTGAGCGCTCTGGAAAAAGTTTCTCTGTTCGGCTAGAATGAGAATTCCTCTTGATCAAAAATAGACTGGAGGAGACTTGCTGCACCCTCCTGCCGCTGTGGGGAAAAACAATCTTCACAATAGGACAACACCTATCAAAACCGTGCTCACATAGTCGCGTCCTAAAGATTAGCAGCTTTTTCCCCAGGTTCCCTTTAGGTGAGTGATGTGGGCTGACCCTGTTTATTTTTGACTTCCCACTTACTGGTACAAAGGAAGGCGTCTCCGTAAGTATAAGGCTACAGACTGCGAAGTTGGAGAGAGCATTCAAGGAGCAGGGAATACTGCATTAATTGGAGCCATCAAGCCAGCATCTCTCTGCCCCTGGCAGCAGGTCTGTGGCTTCTAGCAGGTTATCTCCCTGTTACCCGAGGTAACCACCTCTTGAGGCACTTGTACTGGGGAACTGCAGCCCTGCCTGAGGCCAAGCCAAACACAGAACGTCAATACCAGCACACCGGCTGCGTTAAGGAGGCAGTGATGCTTCTGAAACACAGCGCTGAGAAAGTCCTACCTTAACAACGTCCTCGTTTATGTGCTTCGGGTCTCTGTTCACCAGGTCGATCTCCTTGGTGTGCTGGTCCTTGATGATGATCCTCTCCTCCAGGTCGGTCTGCTCCTCGGCCATGGCCGCTCTGCTGCCAGCGTGGAGGGTCACAGAGGAGGGAATGGGGCTCTGCGGTAGGAGGACCAGGGCAGGACGTGGTGTGGAGGCACCGGCCCCCCTGCCCGCAGCAGCTGCCCCTGGCGCAGCTCCAGGCTAAAATTAATGTCCTGCCTCCCGAGGCCGCCCCAAGTGTCCCTTAAAGGGGCTTTGCTGGGGACAGCCCCTGCGCTGTCACCTCTGGGGGGTACCTGTATGGGTGGCACCCTCAGGGCAGGGTGGTGCAGGGGGGGCACGCACCTCCAGCAGTGCGGGTGGGATTTGACCCTCGTGTGGGGAGGCAGCATGGGAGAAATGATGCCCAAACCGGGGCAAAAGTCCTCAAAAGCCTGAGAGAAATGGTTATTTACAAGGGAAATCACCATTTACTGATCTCTAAATGAAGAGCCTCAGGGGAGACGGGAATCACATCTATAAAGATCACCCAGGGAAGCCACATTGTCCTGGGACAGCCAGCAGGCTTTGGGGTCCCCGCGGAAGTCCAGAAGCAGCTCATGGTATCGGTTTGGATTCCTTCAGTTCCAGCTCTTTCATACAGAGAAACTTGAGGAATCCTACAAGACCAACTGAGGTCTACAACAGTCAAAGTATTTCCTCAATGGACACAGGGCACAGTGACATTTAGTGTATTAATGATGTTTTATTTAACTTGTGCTGTATTTTGATAGCGCTCATCAATCTCCTCAGTGCTCTCTTGGGTCTTGTCAAGTAAAGATTTGTTTAAAACAAACAGTCTTGTAGGAAAAGAACCAAACCAACCATCCCCAAACCAAAACAACCAACCACCATCAAACCACCCACCCAAAGCTCCTGGCAAATCAGTTGTTTATGGGCATTTTCATGTGAAGTAGTGTTGGGATAACTGCCCTCTGTTCTTCCCTCGTGTGCCCCTTTGGTTACGGCTGCTCTGAACTCTCCCCATGCAGTGCTGGTGATGGTTGGTGACAACTCGCTGTGCGGTAGGGGTGACACAGCAGGTGGTTGTGACTTACCCCTGGGTCAGCACCACACACTGCAGCATATGGGGGCAAAGCCTCTTTGGTGGGGACTGTATATGAACCTCCATTAATATTGAGTGTTCAATTGATGCATGTGTCTGAGCTGTTCTTGAGCCTTATTTCTTTTCTGTTTCACATGTGAAATTGCAAAGATGTGTGTGGTACCTCCAGCTGGGGCGTGCTTTGGGGTTTGTGGCTGGGATGGAACATTGCCGCTGGCAAATGACACCAGCATCGCTTTGTGGGAGCAGAGCAGGAAGGAGCACCCAAAGAAGCCTTGCTGATGGCCCACAGGCAGACCCAGCTCTGGCTCATTTCCCCCCCTATCTCAGGTACCCCTACTTACAGCTCCTTGGAGATATGTGAAGTGGGGTCCAAATACCCTCAAGCTTCTGGAGCTTAATCCTTCCGTGCCAAGTTATCATGATAAGTTTAGGTTTGTTCTGGGCTGCACAGTCTGGTCTGGGAATGTTTACTTGGATGAGGAAACATTGCCTGGGTAGCTCTAACATCAAGAAACAGTATTTCTTTGTGGACCTGAGTGGAAAAACCCAGAAGGGTGCAGTGTCCTGCTTAAGTCTCTGCTAGTGAAGTGAAATTGGGAAACAAACCTAAGTAGACCTTAATGTAAAACAACAAAACAAAAAACTCTGGGCACAAATTGAAGATCATTATTGGAACGTGTAATTTCTAGAATGCCTTTTTAAAGGACTATTACAGCAGGAAGCAAACAGCTACCACGGAATCTGAATTGTCAGATAAAAGCCTTCAGGTATTGCAAGTCATACACCTGTAAAGTGGTGAAAGGAGTGAAGACTTTGGGGCTTTGAGCAGTCTGGTCTAGTGGAAGGTATTACTGTCTGTGGCAGAGGGTTGGAACTGGATGAGCTTTAAAGGCCCTTCCAACCCAAACCATGCTGTGCTTCTGTGACTGAGGAGGAGGGATCAGTGTCCTGGAGATGTCTATACAACTGTTGAGCATGGAAGAGGCCACTTCAGAGCTAATGTGTTCAGCTGGCATGGCAGGGAGGTATTTTAACAGCAAAAGGCTGCCGCCTTCCAAAACCATCAGTGCTGACTTTATCAAACCTTTGTGGCTTGGTGCCTGGAGCTTTCAGTTTTGTTCCAGCCCTCTGAGTTGATATAACACAGTGCAAAAATGGGATTGTGTTCTTTCATTTGGCTGAGGTGTGGTGTGTCTCTCGGACATGTTCATTTTTCCTGAGAACTTGTGATGGTGGGAGCCTGGCTGAACACTACTGCGGGTTGAAGGCTGCCAGGCTCCTCTAACTCCTGCTCGAGGTGGTTTTTCAGGAGTCAGGATGGTACCTCAGTCTGAAAACTGTTTTTCTTGGGATTTCTGCTCTAGTGGAAGGAGATGTGGTGATGCCTTGGTGTGTGACACATCCATGGCTAAAGCTGTGATGACTGCATCTTGTCCGAGACACCTCTGACTTCTCCTGTAGGGAGAGAAAGGGGAGAACTGGGGGTGGGAAAGTAACCATACAAACCCACGGGATGCTGCAAAAGTAAAGGAGGCACCTACGGAGAAGGGATGAACTCTGTGAAGGTTTGAGCATGGAGGTGTGGGTTCAGATCTGGGCGGGCTGCTGCTGGAGGGGAGTGTCCGTCACTGACCCTGTCCTGGCTGTGCTTCTCCAGGAGAAAGGATTCTGGAAAACTCTTCAGCAGCACCAGTCCCCTGTCCCTGGGTCTCTCACTGGTGACTTGAGCCAAGGTGGCTCAGTTTGGTCCTGTTCCTTTGCCTTCCTGCTAGGTTAACAGGCACAGCTGCAGTACTAAGAGGCATCTGCAGGCAGTGAGCTGCTGCTGCTGGTGGTGGTAAAAAGTGCCAAGAGCTTGCTGGGTGTAAAAGTATCTGGAATTTGGTTCAACACAAGCTGCCTGTTGGTCTCTGCCCTTTGGTGGGGCTTTGAGACCCACTTTTGGTGATCCAGCCCTCTGCCCTTAGTGCCAGCACTGGCTCAGCAGCAGCAAGAGCCCAAACCCAGCATGGGCTGGTGTTGCAAGTAAAAACTCCATGCTCCAAAGCTTAAGTCCTGTTCTGTCACAGCTGAATTCCTCTCTATCAGAGTTCTGTAGCACCACTGCTGCCATGGCTGAGCACTTCAAAATAGACCGTGCAGGATGGTTTTGCAAGGTAAGCTGGTTTCCCCTTACCCGGAGCTGAAGGCACATAACAGTACTGTGAGCGGAGGCGGTGTGCGTGAGTAACTGTGCTCTGATGGAAGAGCAGCACTCGCTTGGCTGGTGCCCAGCACCCAATTTAGGAGCCACAGCTGCTCCTGGCAGTGCTGTCCCCTGACAGACGGAGCAGCACTACACAAGGTATTTGTTCTGCTGCGTTTTCCTCCACCCATCCTGCTGGAAGGCTTTACACCAGGACAGGGGTTGCTGTCCCCATGGTCAGGGGGGGGCTTAGCCGGCTGCCCTGAGCCCCAGGCGCTGTGGAGGGGATGGCAGCACAGTTGTGGGGTGCCACACACACTCTCCCCTGCTTTGCTGGGCCCTGCCCATCTCTGGTGTGGGATTTCTAACAGCGTGAGTCACTTGCTGTCTTTAGGCTTGGGCTGGTCCTTGCTGTCTGCACCCAGGCATGTGGCTTTGGTGTCCCAGGCGTGGGAGTAGGAGAATGTGGACCCACGTAGCGGTTAACGTGCAGTTAGTAAGAGTCAAGTAGCAAGGAGAGAGAGGAGGAATATTCTGTTGCACCACAGATGCTATAAATAAATGTATTTCCGAGTACTTTAAGACTGTGAATGGGACACAATATAAAAGCTGCTGGTGTGCAGAAGCTGCAGTGGGCTAACAATAATATTAGTTTGTCAGTAACTAATAACAACCAGAAGTTTAATCGCTAAGTACAGGTGATAAAACAATAGCAATTTCAGCAATTATTAATGCTCCCCTGAGGATGGTTATAGATATGCATTGAAAGAATTTGCTGGCCATGCCTTGTCCTGTGGAGACCTTTTCCCAAGCTGGTGATGCAAGAGATGCCAATAGACATTAATTTCTTGGCAGTGCCCTTCTCTAGTACCAACTAGTGCAATAAATTAGTCTTGCCTTTCAGTATAAAGTCCAGCTTTCATACAGCAAATGCATTCCTCTTTCCAAATGAGGGGCTTCTCCTTGCAGAGGTTTTCATGCATCAGCCTGCCCAGGTGAGTCCTAAGCTCCAGTTGTTCCTTTCATCCTGTGAGTGCAGCTACCCTCAGCCAGCCCTTGTCCATCTGTCCAGCATTAAGCATGAAGGAAGGGGGTTCGGGAGCCCACAGACAGCTGGGCAGATGGAGTGTTTCTGCATGCGTGGAGTACACCTGGGTGGTTTAAAACCCAGCTCCCTCCCTGGTGCAGGAATCTGGGGTGCTCATGACCAGCAGATGGTTCCTACCCTGTAAACACTGTGTTGCTGGTGGCTACTGCACTGAGAAGCCCTTTTTGTTCACTTTGCTGCCATCAGGCTTTCCTGCTCTAAGAGCAGCTCCTCTTAAAGCTTTGTGCTGCAGCACTGGCAGAGGAGGAGGTACAGCTCGGCATTGCTTAGGACATGTGGAAGACTCCACTGCTGCTGTTTAGCTTGGAATGTTTTTCCTACGTTCCAAGTCCTTGAAGGCTTTTTCTCTCCTAGGAAAATGGAAAGAGTTACAGGTGCTCGGAGCAGGATGCTGCTCCCTTGCCCACTCCTCTCGTATATCCCAGGTGTCTGTGGGCACATGAGGGAGTCCAAGCCCAGCTGCACTCAATATCTTTCATCTTGAGAACATTTGTTATAAAACCTTGTGACAAGTTTTCCTTTGCAGAAACCAACAGTAACCATTGTGTCCCTGAGCAGCCGCAGGTGTGATTTCAGGGGAGGTATTGCTTTTTGGTAAATAAATCATCAAAACCTGGACTGGCTGTGGGATTGAAGGATTGGTGCTGTGAATTTAGAAGCCTTCTAGGGGTCAGATAAATAACCTGCAGTTTGGTCCCAGCAAGTGAAATGTATTTCTCTTGAGCAGAGAAGAATAAAGCTGAAATAAAGCTCTTGGAAATCAAAGCTCCTATGAAAATAAATAGACCAGAACTGCAGTGAAGGGAATAGTAAAGAAATTGGGAGCTTTCGCTATTGAGTCCTCTGAGAGCATGCGGCTTGCCGTGGAAGAGAAGACAGCCAGGTACGAAGTGATGCTGGTAAATTGTTAGGTTAAAGCAGGAGGAATGATTCTGTGTGTAAGTCCTGACCTCAGGGACTTTTAATCCTTTGGCTCAGTGTAAAGATGAGAGCAAAGGAATATTTCAAGCAACTGGAAGGTGCCACCAGATAGAAGTGAGGGTAAGAGATCAGCTCTGCCTTCAGTGCTTGGAGCAGAGCTCTCCTTTCATCCTTTTTTAAAAAGGCAAACGAACCCTTTTAGCTCTTCTGTCTGTTGCAGGTTAAAACTCACTTTTAATGATCCATTCCCTCGTGTTACTCCTTCCTGAAATCGG